GATCTAATTGCGAACTCAACATAAGCAGGCGTTCTTTTTTCTTTGAAACAGCGCCAAGACTGCTTACACTGACTGCTAAAAACTGAGCTAGACAGCGGGTATTCAGTGTTTGGAAAACCGTTTTGAAGTTTGCATTCTCCGTATAAACTCCAAATCTAGTTTCCGAAAAAGGCGTTAAATCTAGTCACGCAGTAGCAAACTACGCTGCGGTGCTAAAATTAGGCTTCAATTTGGTCAGAAAACAGATTCTGGCAAAAAAAATTTTTTTCTTGAATAAAAATAATCGAACTTTTTTGAAATCGTTACGTAAAAGCGAAAAACGCTTAGGCAGAAGGAAACTAGTAATTTGCAGAGCGACTGTTGTGAAAGCGCAAAAAATGTTTTGGGTCAAAGCGGTTAAGTCGGTACCAATTCCGCCATGTCGTTATGAACGCAACGGTATCCAGAACTATTCACCAGATCCAGTAACACCACCACCTCCGGTTCGTCCTTTTGTGGAAAGAATTGGTTTCTAACAGCTTACCGTTATATTTATTAAAATTTCGAAATTTTGTTACACAGTGTCTGTGTGCTGTTATTTTTCCGATTTTCATTTTGAGCGCGTGATTGATCCTGGGAATTGCTGTTTGTACCCTGTTCCGTTTGTGATACTGAATTATTAACATAGGTTCTTAGTAAAAATAAATTTATCCAACTTATTTGGCAGAAAGTTAACGATAAACTTTTCTGCACCGGCATTAGGAAGAAAGCAGACACTGCTCGAAAAAAATCGAAGTTTTCGCCTTTTATTTCTTCTGGAAAAACTTCAACTGCAGAAATAAACAATTGCCATTTTTCACCAAGATAAAAGTTGGCTAGAAGAAGTAAAAACAGTCAAAAAGCTTTCATATATTAAACTAAATAGAGTCAGGAGAAAAACCTTAGAGCATCTAAATAATTCGTTATACTAAAACAGCTGAATCTGAGGTTAAAAAAAAACAATACATTTGCTTTTTTTCTAGTTTAAGCGGTTCTTTTGCAAAATTACCATGCAATAATTTATCTGAACCCAGATTTCAAAGCGCACCAGAAGGGTGATGCGATCATGCACTTTGCAGCCAAATAATCTCTCTGGCCTTTTAACAAATGAAATTTGAGCTTCCTAGCTACTACGGGCTGCTTTGAGTTTCCTCCTGAAATTTGAGCCTACTAGCTTTCCAAGTTTCTGGGTTAGTGGCTTTCACGCCAAAAATTTCACATGTCCTTAAGACAGAGACGTGTAGGAAAGCTGATACCACGTTCCTGGGGTTGCAGTTAGCCGGAAAGGCAACAGTAAAATTCCAGCACCTAAGCTTGCTTGACTGATAAGCTAAAATACCCGGACACACGAACACGCACCTAGACGCACGCATGGATAAACGAGCACACACACACGTAAACACACATACACACATAAACAGGATCGTTACAACATGCTTTTTTGCTGACTGTTGCAGCGCTACAGCGGAAAAAGGTATGGCAAAAACCGGCCAAAAGTTGACTTTTTTTTTAAGTTTTGAATACCTTCTGCTTTGTCGAATAAATTTTGAATTTGATAACATTCATGGCTGTCAAAAGTGCGATATTTAAGAAAACTATGAGCAGTTTCAAAAGTCGGGAAGCATGGAGACGTTCACGGATACGAATTTGGTCGCGAGCTGTATCCTCAGAGTGTCAGGTGGTGAGTTATCAGTAAATGGTGGATCTGTGAGCGACTCACATGGTTCCCAGCTTTTGCTCACAATCAGTTGTCAGGTGAACATTTCTTTAGCTTCGAATATAATGATAGCCGGATTGCCCGTTTACGACGCAACAAACTAAGCCCTCTTCAATTTCTTCGAACCCTCCCTGTCAATTTTTTCAAACCTTCCCGGTCAATTTTTTGCTCGTACTTAGCACCCTTAGATTCATTTTTCTGCATTCGCTAGAAATAAACGCTACGTAGTTAAATTTTTCCTTCAAGTTTTGAATTTTCAAGTCGAATTTTACACTCTGCTATGTCGAAAAAATTTTGAATTTGGTAACACTAATGGCTGCCAAAAGCGCAATATTTAAGAAAGCTATAAGTAGTTTCAAAAGCTCGGAAACATTTCAAAAAAACTTTCAAAATATTCTGATAAAGCTCTTACTCCGAGCACTCTTCTTGCGAAGCTTTTTTTAAACTGATAATTAAAACGCATTTGACCTCCTGAAACTGCACGGGACCAGTAAAACGAGCAAAATCTATATCGAAATATATCTATTAGATACTCAAGCCCGCACTTTGTTTCTGAAAATTGCATTTTCCTTGGTTCTTCATATCACATTAGGAGCTGGAATACGGCAACTGCCGTTACCTAAACCAAGGGTAAGTAAGGAAAGCTTAGAAAGAGAGAGAGAGCGCAAATACTCTCTTTTTAATGAAAATGGAGATGCGCTTAAAATGCTCACTTCTATTAAAGATATTAGCACTCTGCTGCTCTTCTTGCTTTATATCTTCAGAAGTTTTGGTACAAAACCCTTGGCACCTCTCCCCGATTTTCTTATCCATCCATTAATACTAGCCATTTTCTCCGAAAATTCTTTTTTGTAAAAAAAGGAAAAAGTTTTTACCCAAGAATACGCGACTTTGCCAACAGTTGTTGCATCACAGAACTTTTTATTACTAGTTGTGGAAAGACCAACCCAAAATCCGTATCTGTATTTCTTTCGATTATCCAGCAAAATAGAGTTAGGAAGTAGTTTCTTTTTACTTTTTCCCCAAATGCTCTGTGCAAGATTAACTTCGTTTTACCACTTACCCGTCACTATTTGAACACTGAGTAAAACAGCCTTCTAAATAGTTTCTATATGATAGAGTGTAGGCATCACAACTGATGGCGCCACTCCTGCGTACTAATAAATATTAGTTCAAAGCTGTCGTGTTTATACATCTATTAAACTGCTGTCGATGTACTTGAGAATTTTGCGGACACGCCCCGTCTTTTGTTTTTTTCCCCACAAGTGATCAAAATTCAAGTCAATATCTGCAAAGAATCATATCATGCCAGTTAAAAAAAAATTGTCTTTTGCCATCGTCTACAGTCAAATACAAAGTGAGTTTTGAAAGGCGCGGCTTATGAAGCAATTCCTGAATATTCTGTTTAACAAACAGCAACGGGGAAACTTTAATAAGCTCTCTTGGAACCAGTTTACTAAGAACGACGAGCATTATTTCAGAACGACTTTCGAACAAACATAGGCAAATGCTTGAGACATTCGAACAGCATCGCAGTGATAACCTTTTGGCAAAAAGATGGAGCTCATCAAATTTGGCTTCTAACCAAAATGACGAATTTATTAAAAAAATGCTTACTGTTAAAGCGCCTAGCTTCATCCGATCATGTTTCTTTCAAGATGATACCATATTAAGTAATGGCAAGTCCGTTTTGTACAAAGGAGGCAGAGGATGAACATAGGAAACCGTTTTTTCTTTCACCTCCCGTTCCGCAAGAGGGCATTAAAAATGCTTGTGCAAGAAAAAAATTCAGATTTTGTAACGGGCGAGAGATTTGGCCAAAATGGCACTGAAACCAGTTGTGATGTGCTGCAGTAAGTAAAGAAAAAAGACGGGGAAAAAAACTGGCGATAAATTGCTAGGAAAAGACTTATCAAAGCAGAATGGTGAGAAAGAAATCAGGGCACGTGCCTAGAAGTTCCAAAACTAAGGTGTATACCTCCTTCGACAAAAGCTTGCTGAGCTACTGGCAACCCTATCCTATCAAGAAGAGGATCTTTTTGCCGAAAAATTTTAAAGCTTTTTGGGACAGCCACTTGAAAAGCATGTTCCTCAGGTAAACACATGGGAAGAGAATTTTTATATCAGTGAGGGAAAATCAGAAATTTAGCATAAATGATGGCGTTCCGGCACAAACACATCCGCTTACTGTAACTTAGCAACTGGACCATCAACGCACTGAACAGATCAAAAGCATTGGTCTGAATAAGGCATGCATATTTTAACTTATCTTTAGGTCAAGGTAATATGGTCATTCAGTTGTCTCCTGAATGAATTTTATGAGTTCGTGCTACATTTGAGTTAAATGCTATTTTTGTTTTTGTTTCTGTGCTACATTTTTATCACCTATTACTGTTGATGTAAAGCAGTACTCCTGCCTGTGACTAGTATTTTATATTTTTTTTACCAAAGTAAAAGCAACTTTTACACTGGTTTTGTATGGAATGACTACACATTTTTGGAACATGATGTGAAAAGTCTTTCTTTGTCGAAAAGACAAACCCAATAAAACATAGCAACGGCAAAAGTTGATACTTTTCCGACGTAAAGGCAATTCAGTTCACTCATTTTTCGTCCATCTCCGATGTTGATCCGTCAATTTTCGTACTGCCCAGGAATTTGCACGGTTTTACCAAGCTAATAGACAACAATTTCGTAAAACAACCAAAATTATCCAAAGTTAAGATACTTGCCAAATCCAGGCATAATGTACTTATATCTTGCCAAATCCAGGCATGTAGTTATATTCTTGGAGCAAAAAAAAACTTGGACATTAAAAGAATCAACTCAGTATTTAATCAATTATTTTAAGAGTGAACCAGAACCGACGATTTTTTCTGAAGTACTAATTGAAATCATTCCTGTACTTGTATTTTTTAAAAAAAAGTTGAGGTTTTTCATGTCAGTGTACAGATACAGTTTAAAAATTCCTTTGAAAATTTCAGATAGTAAAAGGTAATATGAGCGTGCGTTTAGGTGAAGCAGTTCAAAATGGAAACATTCCGAATGTTCGATGCATTGGATAACAGCTTGCAGCACAATCTCCTCGAATATGTTCCGAACGATGCAGACCGTATACCAAAGCCCCAGAAAATCCAAGACTTTTTCCGGGTATGTTTTTGAGAAGTTTTCAAACATTGGTTTTTTGCTTCTTCAGCTTATGGAACAAGAATAGTTTTTTTTAAACAGTTCAGTATTTGAATATAGTGTTCTTCAGAGAAATTCTTGAGCGATTTGCAGAGTCTAAGGTGCCAAATTTGGAACCTTGACAAAAAGCTACGCCCTGCGACAGAATTGGTGCTTCACGTTGTTTTTGCCGCCGAGTTTTTTTTTGTCAAACAGAATTATGTCTAAATACAGCATTTCTTGTTTCGATTCCAAGCATTTTTCATATTTTTAAAATATTCTCGCTGATTTTTAGAAATATCAAGACAAAGTTAATAGATGAATTCAGTCTTGAGTATTTCTTTTTCCATAACGGTCTCATGAAACAAAAAAAGAATTACGTATAGCTACTTTTCCACTTTTTATACCTTTTTAACCAAAATCAGTTCAGTTCTGCTGATGTAGACCGTTCAAACCTACCGTAGCGAAACCAAATCCAAGGTTCAGCTGTTTAAAATTACCCGGTTCCTCGACGACTGTTTCATGAACGACCGTACTTGAACATTGCACAGACCAAATCCAATTCGAATATGAGTCGTCCGGGGTCCGACGGCAATCCAGTAACTTATCAAAACG